AGAGATTGGCCTGTGGTTCTCCTGTTTGGTTGAGTTTTTCTCTGGTTTCAGTATCAGAATGGTGCTTGCCTCCAGGAATGGGGTAGGGAGCGTTGTTACCCTTTCAGTTTCATTAGAGAGTTTGAAGAGTATTAACATTAAATCTTCTCTAAATTTCTTCTAGAATTCAGCCATAAATCCACAAGGATTTTTATTTGTTAGTAAGTTTTTAATTACATATTTGATTTCAGTAGTTGATAGTAGGTTATTCAAATTTTTTGTATCTTCTCGATTCAGCTTTGCTAACTGGTGAGTTTCTAGGAATCTATCCATTTCTTCTGTGTTTTCCAGCATGAGTAAAGGCCTTTAAAGTGATTAATGAAGATCTTCTGAATTTCCACATGATCTGTAGTGATTTCATCCTTTTAATTTCTCATTGCATACATTTGAGTTTTTTATCTTTTCTTGATAACGTTGGCTAGGGTTTTACCAATTTTGTTGATTGTTTCAAAGAACCAACTCAATTAATTCTTTGTACTATTTTCTTAGTCTCAATTACATTAAGTTCTACTCTGATCTTTACAATTTCTTCCCTTCTATGAGCTTTGGTCTTGACTTGCAGATTGCTCATTTGTGCTGTTCTGTTTTCCTGAAATGAGAATTCACTGCCATATTTCCTTCTTAGGATTGCTTTCATCGCATCCCACAGGTTTAAGTACGTTATATCTGCATTTTCATTTAACTGTAGATATTGTTCAATTTGTTCTTTAATTTTATCTGTGACACATTGGTTGTTCAAGAGGGGGTTATTTAATTTTTGTGTGTCTATGTAGTTTTTGTAGCTTCTTTGCCATTAGTTTCCAATTTCATTGCATTATGTTCAGATAATATGCATGGGATAATGTTAGTTCCTTTGCACTTGCTTAGGCATCTTCCATGGGTAGTACGTGTTCTATTTTGGAGAACATCCCACGTGCAGCTGAAGAGAATGTGTATTCTGATGTTGTTGGGTGGAACCCTCTGTAAACATCTATTAAATCCATTTGTTAACAGGTTTGATTCATTTCTGCTATTTCTTTGCTGACATTCTGTCTTTTGATCTATCCCTTTGTGATAATGGGTTATTATGCCCCTGTTATCCTTGTGTTACTGCATATTTGATGTTTCCTGTCTATTGATATTTTTCTTGTATACTTGGGCACTCCCATGTTGGATGCATACATATTTAAGACTGTTACCCCTTCCTCTTGAACTTTTCCCCTAGCAAGTATGCAGTCACTTTCTCTATCTCAGGCGGTCATTTTTGGTTTTAAGTTCAGTTTATCTGTGAAGAGAGTATCTACCATTTCTTTTCTGGGTTCCTGTTGCATAGAGTACTGCTTTCAATATTTTGACTTTCAGAGCATGAATTTCTTTTTGAGTTAAATGTGTTTCTTGTATACATATCTTTGGATCTTGTTTCATGACCCATTCTGACAATTTTTTTTTTGGATTAGTGAATTGAGGCCATTTACATTGATGATTATAACTGATAAAGTATTGGCCTAGCTTTTTTGTGTTTTTTTTTTTTTTACTTGTTTTTCCCTTTTCTTTGTTTGTCTTGTCCAGTGGCTTCTTTCTATTTTTGTGGTCATTTTTATCTCTATCTAGCATGTCTTCCAGTAACCTTTCTAGGATTGTTTTGGCGGACATGAATTTCTTCATTTGTTCTTTGTCATGGAAATATCTTATGTCTCTTATTTTTGAAAGACACTTTTGTAGGTTATATCAATCTGGGCAGCAAGCTGTTTTAATTTGATTTTTAAGGACTCAAAAACCTTTACTGAACTCTCCTTGACTTGAAGGTTTGTATTCAGAAGGCAGTGTGATTCAGAAATAAACTTTCCTTTATATGTGACCCGTATCTTTGGTCTAACAATTTTTTACCATTCTGGGATTTTTGGGGGGCTGAATTTCTGGAATCTTGATGATTATATATTTGGGTGTATATTTATTTTGGTTATACCTTTTTGGGATTCTATATGCCTCAGTTACCTGTATTTCAGATTCTGTCACCATGCTTTGGCAATTTTCTGCTCTTATTCAAATAGTTTCTTTTTATATCACTTGTGTTGACTTCTGCTTTTTAATTGATATCTAATCAGTTTTACCTTACTTTTCTTTGTATCATCTTGGAGGTGTTGAACTGTTATTTCATGGTTCTCTGATATTTTTAAGAGATTTTTTTCATTGTTTATCAGTAGCTACAATTGTGTCTTCAGGATCTGAAAGTCTATCTTCATTTTTGTTCAAGCTATTTTGCCAGATTTCAATAGAATTTTAATTTCCTGGATATCTCTTTGTATCTGCTTCATGCATTTTATGTCTTATATTATTCTTTCAAAATGTCTATCATTTTCCTATGTGCATCTGTGTTCCTTTATTCATCTCTGTCTTCTCTAGCTGAGGTAAAAAATTCCTTCATTAAGGTTGTCATTTGTTACATTAGCTTAGAGATTATTTCTGATCTGATTTTCTCTATAGCCTCATGGATTTGTTTCTTTACTTTACTTGGTGTTTTTACAAAAATTTAAATTATGTTTCTTCAATGTCTTCTATGTCAGTATCTCCTGTACTTGTTCCAGATGGGCTGGAAGTCTGAGACTGCATTTTGTTTTTTATATTGTCATTTTAGCTTCTTGGTTTATATTTCAATCATTTCAATCCCACTAGTTCTGTCAATCCTTTGTGTGTGTTTCAGTCAGTGTCATACTTTGGCTAATATTCACCTACTTGCTGAGCCCCACACTGTAGGAGACAGGCCAGTCACCTAAATTCCTCCTGCACGGTCAGTTGGGTTGGTCCTGGATTCTTCCTGAGCTAACAAGCCTAGGCATATTGATATGATACAAACTTTAGCCAATATTGTTGCTGCAGGTTCATACATTTCCAGGCCACTGGACTTGCCTGTCCATGGAGTACACTACAGCCGGGGTCCTACTGTGTTACAGGGGATCTTGCAGACCCAACCAGCTTCCCTTTGGTGGTGGGAAGGTTCACCTGCACTCTTCCAGCCCTCCAAAATCCTCCAGGTGGGGAAAGATGCTGCTGAGGCCTCTGCCAGCTGATCAAGTGTTCAGTATAAACCTCAAATCTCTATCTTCTTTATATTTTCAGCCTAAAATAATAAGAAAATTTCAACCAAAAAAGCAAATTTTAAAAGTGAACAAAACATAGAAAAATGTTCTAAGACAAGTGTTTTAAGTAGAAACAAATTATGTGCCTATAATGGACACTATAAAATACGAATTTTTGTGAGAGTGGCAATTCCCATTTTTCTTCATGATCTATTATGGTAGCCATGAACATTAGCCTCTTGTGCTTCATGAGCATTTGAAATGCAACTAATACAGTTGAGGAATTGAGCTATAAATTTATTTAAATTTAATTTATTTCAATTCAGAATTCTTTACTAATCACCACTTTACAGTGGGCCCCCATTTACATGGTATCTACTTCATTACATTATATCTGGTGATGATGTTTTCTAATTTTCAACATTTTTAGTGTGATTGGCATTATATAACAAAGCATTTTACTGGATTATTTGCTGTTTCTTTATTAGAATTTCAGAAACACTGTTTATTTTACTTATATAGTATGCCTGCATTATATTACATGGTTCATTTTGCTTAAGGAAAAATGCATTATGTGGTGTGAACAATGATTATCATAAACTAAGCAAACCATGCACATTTTATATGCAAAAAGTATTCTAATTTAGAGACTTAAAACTAAATAATATTTTTACTATCTAAATTTGCAATGTTTTCTCTTGTAATTTTTTTGCATTATTTTTCACAGCTTTTATGGATGAGGACAAAAGATGAACACTATTTAAAGTATTAGAATATGAATGATTATATTAATTATTATTTCTATCCATGTACCATTTTAAAGAATGTTAAATGATATTATGTACAGAAAATATGACATTGTTTTAGCTGATAATAGCATGTTTTCCCCTCATACTTGTTTTAAAAGAAATTATTGGTACTTCAATCATTTTGTTTTTGACTCTTACTAGAAAGCCTAAATCATGTATTATTTCATTAATTTGTAATATTCATCTACTTCATGAAAATATATCTGTTTAATGGTTTATTTTATTTTCTTTAATTTTTCTAGAAAATTGCAATTTCATAATATTCATTTTAATGGCATTTGTTAACCAATGATATTTTTTTCATTCAAAATTCATCTCTGACTTTCTAGTTCATAATGATAAATAGGTCTATATACACTTAAACCCAGTTTCTACAGAATCAATGGTGAAATTAACAGCAAAGTAAAATATTTTGACCAAAGAATGAATTAGAATAAGAAATAAATTAGGTTCATTCTAGAAAGATAAAGAACGCTGACAGAGAGACATGGACCACTGGGCAGAAATGAGTACAATCAAGACACTATGACAGATGTTTATTCCCCTCTAATGGCACTTTTTTATGATATAAAGAGCCAGTTTACATATTCAATGCTTGGATGCTGGAATATATAAGTACAATTGATTTTTAATTGTTTTTGAGTTGGCTGAATTTTCTTCATAATATTCTATTTGATGTTGTTTATCTTTCCCTACATATAGGGTCATCATTTTCTAAGATATGTGCTTTATTTTCTATTTCATATACTTGTCACTTTCTTTTTTTACTTCACTTGCTACATTCTTTTGTAAAGATGGTAGAATAGAACAGGTGAGGTGAAGTGTAATTTCTTACTTTTCATAATTGAGCAAAGAGTACTTAATTGACTAACATATGGGTTTCTTCATGTGAGATTGATATCTTCTGATTACTGAGATTATCCAATATTAGTAACTATTATATTACATTCCCAATAACAAAGAGACTCTACTCAATAATTTCTAGTGATGCTGATTATAATATATATATATATATATGTATAATCTTAAAAGCAAACTAAAACTAAAAATGTTTACAAACTTAGAATTCTAATGTGATAGGTATTACATTTACACCCCCCCTCTTACTTTCTTTAATCATCAGAAACTTTGTACTTTTCATCTGTTCATAGATTAGATGTAGTTGTCACCTGTGGACATCAAGTGTGGAAGATCCTTGGAATTATGCTTTCCACCATTTGATCTCAATTCTGAGTTAGTAGACAAGTGGTGAAGATTCACTTCCTATGACCTCACTCTGCCAATTTCAACGGTGATTCTTTCTCAATAAGCCATTATAATGTGAATCTGGGAACAGTATCAGTTTCTGGTGTCCACTCCCTGGAAAGCTTTCATTTTCATTGATTAAGCAGTAAGGCTATAGTTTTTTCTAATTTTTTATTGGTACATTTAGTATACAGTGATAACATTCATCATAGGAAACCTGAGCCTATATGTGTACTCCTGCTGCTCCTTTTCTTCCTGTCCCCTCCCCTCCCTGCAGTCCCTCTTCTCTTCTTGATTTACAAGTTACATTTCCATTGTTTCCTTCTATTCTTTCTCTCTTGCCACTCCCAACCCCAGTGCCTTGTCCTCCTTCTCATGTGACCACTGTTTTCCCTTTTCCCAAAACCTGTTAACATTTTGATCCTTATTTAAACTTTTGGCTTCTCACACCACAAAAACCATGGAATATTTACAGCCCAGTAAGGACACAGTCAGCACTGGGTTGGGTTAGAAAGCAACTGACATTTTCCAGTAGCTTACTTTTAATGTCTAACTATGGAATCTCAACATGTTATGTATTTATTAAAGATGTTAAACGCTGACAATACTAGAAAAACATAATATTTTAAAATTTAAATTTTAATTAATAAATTGATGCTATAATCATTAATATCAAGAAATTGTTAACATTTTTAATTATCAATGAATTAATAGTCAAAAATTTCAAATTGCTTCTTAAATACTTGTAATATTATATAATTCTCAATGAATACAGTCAAAAATTTCAAATTGCTTAAATACTTGTAATATTATATTTTATACAGTAACATTAAACTGCTAGTCAATGAAACTATTTTCTTAGAAGTATCAGATAATTGGAAATCTGCATAATGTTTCTTTTATTTTAAAATCTGCGTATCAATTTTTCTTTAAAATTTTGTTTGCTGGAGAATTAATAAGTAAGAACATGAATGAGTAGAATAGTATTTATGACATAATAGATGCAAAATGACACACAAAAATAATTCTCAAACTCATAAATGTATAATTAAAAAGTAATCATAGTACCTAAAGTAACTGTTTTGCTGTTTACTTATTTACTTTTTATTTTAAATCAGTTTTATTGCTGTATTTTATATATACATGATGTCCACATTCATCATGGAGGAACTTGTACCTGTAAATGATGTTTTCTTTTCTTTGTACTGAGAATCAAACTCACACTTTCCAGGCAGGAGCTGTTAGACATGATACACCTTGACTCCTCTTTATGTTTGTATTTTTCTCTCTTCCCTTTCACTCCTTTTCCCCTGCTTATTTACAAAAGCTTTGTTTCTATTGATTCCCCCTTTTCTCTTTTTGTCCTCTTCCTCTCCTCCATTTCCCCATCCCCCTTCCTAATTTTCACTTCAATTTGAACATTTTATTCCTATTTCACACTATCTATTATACATTTTGGTCCTTATTTATACTTTCAGTTTCTCACACCAGAGGAAAAAAGTTACACATGTGTGCACAATTTATTTCATTTAAGAGTATCATCTCAAGGTGCATTCACGGATAGAGTATCATCTCAAAGGGCGTTCACGGATATAGAAATGTTTCAAATATCAGTCACATCCATTGTATAAAAAACTACATGTAGTTTATTCATTTATAGGCTGATGGGAAGCTGGGGTATTTCCAAGAATTAGCTATTATGAACTGTGCTCCTATAAACATGGGTGTGCATATATTGCTGTGGTATGATGCTTTTAATTCTTTTGGTAAGCAACCAACAAAGCCTAGTTTTAGTTTTTTGAAGGATCTCTCTGCTGGTTTCCATAATTGTTGCACCAGTCTATACTTTCAACAGGAACGGAGATGGTTTCCTTTTCCACATAGCCCCACCAGAATTTGCTATTTGTTGATTTCTGATTAGCAGCCATTTTTTCTAGAGTAAGATGGAACCTCAATGTTATTGTAATTTGCATCTCTTGAATGACCACAACTGTCAATTTGTTTTGGTATATTTATTTGCAATTTCTAATTCTTCATCTGAGCAGTTATGTATTCATTCCAAATGTCCATTTCTGGAATGCATCATTAAATTTGCCAGGTCTGGGGCTAGGGATTTAGCTCAGCGACATAAGGGCCTGCCTTGCAAGCAGGCAGTAGTGAGTTCGATCCCCGGTACCGATAAAAAGGAAAATTATTTTTTAAAAAAATTTGCCAGGTCTGAACTTTTTTAATTCTTTACGTATTCTAGCTATCTAGCTAGTGCTTTATCTGGAATATTTTTCCACTCTCTGGTTTCTTCCCACTCTGTTGGTTTCTTTTGTTGTGCAAAGATTTTTAATAAGATTAGATCCCTTTTGTAAGTTCTTTGTGATACTTTCTCTGCAACATTCATAATGTCTTTTCCATATCATCATGAGTTCTATCTATTCGATGTTCTATTCAGTCTTCTAGCAGATTTCATGTTTTTGTTTTAATAATTAGGGATTTGATCCAGATCAATTTTAGTTTAGTGTATCATGAAAATATGGGTCTAGTTTTAATCTGTCAAGTGGAAAGCTAGTTTTTCCAGTATAATTTATTAAGTAGGTGTATTTTTTACAATGAAAGTGTTTGGCTCCTTTGTCAAAGATAAGGTGGCTGACTGTGTTTGGAATTGTTTCTGTATATGCTAGTGTGTTCCATTGATTTATGGGTCTGTTATTTCCCCATTACCATACTGTTTTGTCACTGTAGCTTGATAGTATAATTGAAATCAAGGATTGTGATGCCATCCTACCTTGCCTTTGTTTCCACGAATGGGTTTTGCTTATCACTTCAGCTTCCAAATGAATTTTAGCATTGTTTCCTCCAAATCTGTAATGTATGATATTGATATTTTGACCAAGACTGCATTAAATCTGTAAATCATTTTTACAGGATGGCCATTTTCATTGTATGTGTTCTTTCTTCCCAAGAACAAGGAAAATCTTTCCATTTTTTTTCATATCATCTTCAGTCTCTTTTTTTCCTGAGTACTGTATGTTTCAATGTAAAGTATTTTACTTCTTTCCTTACATTGAAACTTAAATATTTAAATTTTTTGGATGCAATTTTGAAAGGTGTTATTTCCATAATTTTCCTCTCAGTGAGTATCCTATTCATATATAGGGATGTTTTTGATTTTTGCATGTTGACTTTCTTTGCAACTACAGTAGTGAATTTTTTTATTAAATTTGGAATTATTTTGGTATTGTTTATGGGGTCTTCTATGTAGAGTATCATGTCAATCACAATACTCACAATTTAACTTCTTCTTTTCCTATCCTTATTCCTTTTAATTTTTTCTCTTGTCTAGTTGTTCCAGTTAATGCTTCCAGAACTATATTAAACAGGATTCCTGGCTGTGGACACCCTTGTCTTGTTCCTCATTTCACAGGAATTCTTTCAGTTCTTGACCATTCAGTATGCTGTTGGTTTGGCTGTTGGTTTCTCATAGATCTCATAAATGTTGTATCAGATAAAGATTATCTATACCAACTTTTTGTTGTTTTTCCCATGTTTGCATATTTGACTTGTCAAATGCGTTTTATGCATGTGTTGAGATGATCATGCCATTTTTGTCCTTAGCTGTGTTAATATTGTGTATTAAATTCGTTAATATACTTATTTTCAACCATCCTGCATCCATTGGATGATCCTTGCTTGTTCTGTGTAATCTTGATGATTTGCTGTATTCTGTTTGCCAATATCTTATGAGGATTTTTACATCTATATTCATTTGGAAGATTTGCCCGTATCTCTGTTTCTTCATTAGTCCTTTACTGGTTTTGGTTTCATGGTGATGCTTATTTCCAGGAATGAATTTGGGAGAGTAGATTCACTTTGAATTTCATTAAAGAGTTGCATGTCTCTGAAATGTTATTTAATTTGCATGTTTTTAAGTAGTTTTATTGGTTTCTTTTGCCAGTGATTGCCAATTTCATTGCACTATGATCAGACAATATGCATGGAATAATTTCAGTTCCTTTAAATTTACTCAAGCTTGTTTTATGAACCAATATATGTTCTCTTTTAGAGAAAGTTCTGAATGCATCTGAAAAAATATGTATTCTGATGTTGTGGGATACAACACTCTGCAGGTATCACTTAAATTCACTTTTTCAAAAATTTGATGCATTTTTGAGAGTTTGTTGATCTTTTTGGTCTAGTTTATATCTGAATATAGAGCATTGAGTCCCCCCATTACAATTGCATTAGTGCTTATCTGATTTTTCATGTATTTAATATTCATTTTTTATAGTTGAGTACACTGGCATTTGGGTTTAAATTGAGATGACTGCTGTAATTTTGGTGGGCTTTCCTTTGTAAGTGAATTGTTTCTTTATGTATGAACTTTTAATATTCCATTCCTGTGTTGAATTCCTGGAATCCTTACTGTTATACACCTTCGGGTAGATTTATATATATATATATATATATTGGGTAACTGGAGTTGTATGTGTCTCAGTTATCTGTTTGTAAAATTCTTTTTACATGCTCAACAAGTTTCTGCCATTACTTCTTTGGATACATTTTTATATTATTTGTGCTGTCTTCTGTTTTATCACTGACTCAGTCAATCTTAAGTTATTTTTCTTTGCATCATCTAGCAAATGTTGTATTGATATATTCACAGCCCTTTGCTATTTTTAAGAACCCTTTATTTCATGACCACGATATAATCCTGTATTCCAGATCTGATACTCTGTCCTGATAATGGTTCATTCTGCTACACATATTTCAATCCTGGATATCTGATTGAATCTGTTTCATGGATTACATTTTTTTCTTATGTTGGGATTTTATGGCTTGCTTCATTTTCCTAAGCTCCTCTATTTTTTTCTTTCTCTTTTCTAGATTCACTAATCATGAACTTTATTATGGTCATCATGTCTGAAGTGAAACTGAGTTATTCACCAGGCACAGCAGTTTGCAGCATCCATTGTTCCATTCTGCTGGTGTGTTTCTCTTTGGAGCTCTCTGTAGTCACCAGTAGTCAATGTACCTCTACAGGTTTGAGCCACCCCTCCCACACTACAGCTCAGAGAGAAAGTGCCACTCCTCACTTCCCATGTCTGCACTTGGTCCCTCTCCTTTCTCTCTCTGCGGGACCTAATTCTCACCTTAGATACTTGCTCAGTCCTGGGAAGCCACTTCTCTCTTCTTACCCTTGCACTCTTCTAGCATCTGGATTCCAAATATCAGAGAAGATGTGTCACCATCCTCCTGCCATCCCAGAAGGCCTCTTGCTTCTTTAATCCTATATTAAACTAAACTATAACACAACAATTCATAAACTACTTTCTTTGTTTTCAGAATAGTCAAATACTCACAGGTGCATTTATTTTAATATCTTATAGATTTGTGGATTTATCATCATTACTTTTGAAGCTTAAAGTTTGTAATATGTATATTAGTGATAAATGGTAGACTTTTTAAGTTCTTATCTATCAGCTGTGTGGTGGGGGTAATGCAAGAACAACTTTTATACAAAACATCAGAACATTTAGCACTCCTTTTAGTGGTTTATAACCCTGGTTTTAATGATCTTTGCAACATGCTGCAAACAAATTGATAGCACATTAACTTTAGTGTGGTAAGATAACTTCATTTGATAACAGACACAATGAGAACATACGTCATGGGAGACTTTCACTAAGTGAATATAAATAATTTTGAAAAATAGTATTATTTTCACAGAAATGTAGGATGATTTTATAGTGGCAAACTTATTTAACTTATTTCTGGTTTTCTTAGCCATTTACATACCATATAATAAGGTACACTTAAGTGCTAGTGTAACTCATAATTTTCATGGAATCACGTCATATATTTTTCATGCAACACAAGCAAATCTTTATTATCCAGTTTTTATTGATACCAATGCATTGCTTTTATAATACTACTTCTGTTCTAAATATATTTCTTTATAACAGTTAAAATGTGCTTTAAAATGTGGAATATCCATTTAGCTTTAATCTTTTTTTTAATTGAAAGTATGTGAAATATAAAATAACAAAATGGAATATATCTTTGAAATTGTCCTTTTTCTTTCTTAACATAAAAAGCACTCAAATGAAAACTATTGATTATCTAAATAGCTTTAAGAACATATTAAAACACAAAAATCTAGAGGAATATATAAATAATGACAACTATTTTGCAAAGTTGTAAATTTGATGGCAAGTATTAGATTTTATTGGGTAATTCTTTTTGAATGAATGGATAAAAGCATGCATATATTAAACATTTTAAGAACATTATTACAGAACTCTTTTGTATTATATATCTAATTCCTTAAAACTGTTGCAAATGTTTTCAAACATGCATTAGCACAATATGATTTAAAGTAACATAGGGTTATAAGTTTAAATATTTCTAAATTATTATATGTATGTCTAATTGTATAATTCTTATAAATAAAAACCAAAAACCAAACAAACATCTTTTGAGGAGAATACATCCAAGCTTCCTTCTTTCACTTTCTCTACCTTACTCGGCCTATTCTCTGTCTTATTTCTTCTCACCAGTCTGCCATCTCTTGTCTTTCACTGGAATGTGTGAAGCTTGTACTTTGTGTGTGAGCTTTCCCTAGTGCTCAGATATTCTCACTAGTCATACACCATGGATGGAACAGTTCTAGAGGTGAATCTACAGATCTCTCACTTCCACATAAAAACTTTCTTAGCCCTGCTATGCAAAATTAAGACTTGCTATTTCAACCACACATATTAAAGTGTCCGGTCTAGTTCTCCATATTACCTATTTTCCATTTAAATATTGAAAATTTTACCATGATATTTTTTCATACCATTTATTTTGCTTTTATGCATAGTGATATTTGCTTGTTATTCACCTTTATTGCTTATCTTTTTGTCTGATCTGAATGTAAGTCTGTAGAAGAAGGTTTAATATGAAACAGAATACCAGAAATATCAAATAAAGTATCTGTAACATAATGACACTCAGATAACTGTCAAGTGAATAACAATAAATCCAAGAGAAACATAAGTTACAGTTAAAGTTTATATTCAATAGTAAGTAATGAAGTAAGTCATTATAGACTAGGATTTTCTTATATTAAGGACCTGATGTGACTGAACTAAGCAGTATACCACATCAAACATCCTCACTAATACTGAATATATTTTCAGACTCAGATGAACATGCTTCCTGTGCATTCATTTTTAATGGCAGTAATATTATGAAAAATCTACATATTTGGAAAACTGTAGGTGCACAAGCCATCCATTTCAATGTATTTTGCGCTATCAGTTGAGCAACTAGATGTTTTCTTTCATCAAATAGAAGTTATCAAACACTTGAATCATGGATCAACAGATATTAAAATATCAACAGATACTTTCTGTGGAAACAATTCCATAGTTTATTTGGAGATGTCCAATCTATTTCAATTGTATTTATGGCAGATATGAAGAAAAATCTTTTTGATATACATTTCAAAAATACCATTCCTATATTATACTATAATATTCATATATTACTGTATTGATATGGTAGTGAAAAAAGAAATTTTTGAGCATAAGACTTAAAATAGTATGATGTAGTCAGAAATTTGTAAGCATTTTAATTGAATGAGTTCTGTTAGTATTTGCAATGCAAGATCAAGTGATTTATCTTTGTAGCAGATGCATCTTGAGTTTTTCAACATGAGAAGATGAGGAATGGATAGGCAGAGCTGATACAAATACAGTACTATTGACAAATTTTTTCATTTACACTGCATGTATTTATATCTGAGAGGTTTTATGGGTGCCTTTTTGCCAAATATGAACATGCTAATTAGAATTAAACTGTAAAGAACATTTTTTGAAAGGTAAATTCAATACATTTTATGTAAAATAAATTCTAATAAAAATATAAAAGGTCTGCTTATAATTGAAAAAAGTTACATGCCTGAAATTAACTGAATAAATTGATATCAAAATTAAGAAAACTGCTGATTTAAAAACTATCAGATGTAGAGCTATAAATACATATAGTTTATTATTTGCTTTACTGGGTGCTTCTCATGTGATTTAATGTATATTTAATTTGAAAAATTGACTTGATTAAGTGATATATTACAGTATTATGTTTATTTATTAACAGAAAATATGTTTACTATAAACTATTAGTTTCATTTCTAGGAATCAAATTGTTTTTTAAATTGCTTCTGTTTTGCTGTTTGTCATATCTGAAGCAATGTAATACATTTTTCATACATTATTTTTAATATTTTAGCCAATATATTGCAAATGAAATAGAGCATATTTCTGTAATTCTTAAATTATATAAAGAGAATATATATACTTTTAAGCTTCCCATTCATTGCTTATATAAATCCATTTTACATATATAATAAAACATTCCATTTAAAATAATTTTCTGATTAAGCCTGATATTATGAAACATGAGTGAAAAACAAAGAAAATTTACAATGTTGTATTAAGTGAAAGATATAAAAATGCTGATAAAAATATGGAGAAAAATGAATTTTTATTTGATGATTTTAATTAATATAGGTACTCAGGAAAATAGTAGAATGTTACCTAACAAAAAAAATTTTAATACTGGTACTACCATATGATCCACCATACTCATTCATGGGTACACATCCAATGGAAATGAAATCTTTAGAAACCTAAACTTTCATGCTTATTATAGCATTATTGATGAGTCAAAAAACACAGTCATATAGGCTGCCTATGAAACAGAGAAGAGATAAAGAAGTTGTGGTTAATATTGAAAGCAGAATTTTTCCACCACAGAAAGAATGCAATGCAGTCATTCACAGCAACGTGACAATTAGAGAAAATTAATTATCCTAAGTGAAATGTCAGTCAGAGTAAGACAATGTCTCATGTTCTTATTCATTTGTATAAGATAAAAATTCAGTGGAGTAGAAAATAAAGTGATAGTCATAAGGGACAAAAAGGTTAAGGGATGAGAACTACAGATAGATTAGATAATGCATGCCAAAATACAATTAAATATGAGCAACTAGTTCTGGTGTAGGATAACACACGGGATAACTTTAGGAGATAATTTATGCTTTACTTTTAAAAAACTGAATATGAGAGCCCAAAGTTTCCCAATA